TTCCAGGTATAGCAAGGCTGCAAAAGTCGTGGCAGCCATTTTGTTTGGGGGTGAATCCTACTTAGTAACGCTACCGCGTTACTAATAGTACAGGGACTTTGGCCCGATTTTTAAGCAACTTTAAAAATTCGTAAAAAATCCAAACTTGATCGGAATCAGTTTAAACTTGCTACACAACATAAGTACATGTATATGTATCAGAAAAAAAATTAAAATGGAGAATTCTCTGCTTGCCATTTTTGATGCAAAAGACCCTGTACATGTAGCTTTTTCTTATTTCCAAAACATGTACATGTACCTCCAAAAATTTTAGTCAGGATCAGCTCAAACTTTTTACATGTAAGGACACGTATGAGTACAATGAGTGAATTACCATAGTCTTGTCCTCTGAGTATTTCAGGAGCAATATAATTAGGAGTACCACAGAATGTACTAGTAGTATCACCAGCTCTCAATCCTTCCTATAGATACAGAGAGAGAGAGAGAGAGAGAGAGAGAAGAGAGAGAGAGAGAGAGAGAGAGAGAGCACTGAATACATGCACATGCATAATAAAAAGATTACACATACACGTACATGTACACATGATTGATATAATGACTGACTTTACACATTCCATAGTCAGTTAGTTTGATGTGTCCATCTTGATCCAATAGAACATTGTCGAGCTTCAGGTCACGATATATAATACCTACAATAATAATAAAATTAATAAAATAATTATGTACTTCATACATGTAGCTTATACATGTACATGTAATTCGCCACTCATAACACATTGAGAAATTGCTTTTCACATACAGTATACATGTACATGTCCTACACTGTACATTGTATATACATGTACATGTACATTAATTGTTGTACAGGCAAACCTTTCTCGTGTAAGAAATTAAGTGCAAGAGCAATTTCAGCCGAATAGAATCTTGCGTGTTCTTCGGGTAGACGCCTGTGACGCTGCATGTGGAACATGAGGTCACCTCCATTAACACACTCAATAACAAAGAATAATCTTTAAGAATAGAGAGAGAGAGAGAGAGAGAGAGAAAGAAAAAAGAAGAGGATAACAAAGTGTAGTATGTGACTATGTGTATACATGTACATGTACATGTAATACCCTTATAAACTACATGTACATGTACATGCATGTAAATTGCATGTGTACTGACCTGCTCTCAGTCTGAAAGCAAGAGTGGAGTCCAACAAGGAAAGGATGATTGGAGGCTTGCTCAAACACGTGCTTCTCAGTCTGTACCCAGTCAATGTCCTCCTCGTCCATAACCAGCTCCTTCTTGATTACTTTCATAGCGTATATTCTCTTGGTCTGTTTTAATTCAACCTAACAGAGAAAGAGAGGGGGGAGAAAGGGGGGAGAAAGAGAGGGGGGAGAGAGGTGGATTGTATAATAATGAGAGTGCTATTATATTCAGTTTACTTACCATCAATACTTTGGCATAACTTCCACGTCCAATAACTTTAAGAATGTCAAAGTC